GGCTTTCATGTCTATGGGGACAGGGTGTGAGGACTGGAGTGTAAAAGCCGGCATTCCTGAACCTTGCTTTTCACTCAGGGAAAGAATGTTCTTTGTAAATCCACCTATTGGCATAGGAAGACTACAAGGAAGGTGAACTTTGGCTAATTATACTATGATATTGTTAAGTTTGGGTTCTGAATAGAGAAACCTAAACCCAAGAGAAACAGACATGCAAAATCCCTCCCAAGAGATACTCTTAAAATCTAAGGCCCACATGAATCCTACAGAAGAAGCAGGTTCGGCTAAACAACGAGCTAAAAAAAAAAAATCACAAAAATAAATAACGAAGCAATCCACCACAAACTAGAGATGGCAGATACAACATACAGGAGGATTAGAATACCAGTAATTTCAGAACACAGAAAAATCTGAAAGAATATAAAAACGGTGAGCATGGGGACACTATAATAATAGGCAGATTTCTGCACACAGAACTTCTAGAAATTAAAAAACAAGATGGGTTAAGAGACATGGAATACAGAACGAAGATCCAACATACTGAATACAGCAAGAGAACAGAGAGGACGGAGGAGTGAGGATATCTGCAGATGTGATGCCTGAGATTCTTACAAAATTGGTACAAACACGACTTTTCATACACAAGACATAAAATAAGTCCTAGGCAGTATAAAGTTCACACCTAGACATATCCAAAATTACAGACCACCAAAGGAAAGAGAAAAATGTCAAAGCCACTGCAGAGAAATGCGGATGACCTATCAGGAACAGTAGTAAGAGAAGAGTCTTCACAGAGGGAAATGGATTAACATTACGGAAGTTCCGAGGGTGGAGAACAAACTATTCAATCCAGAATTCACCTTTCCAGATTAATTATAATATAAAGACAATTTCAGATAAATATTACGGACGTTTACAATTCACTAGACCCATGCTGAAAGCTCCATGAGGAAATTAAACCCAGAAAGAAGGAGAGGAATAAAAAGAGGGATGGTGAGCAAAGAAAATGAATATGGGGGTAAATTCAAAGGAGCCAGGACTGAAACATTAGTGAAAAAAAATTAAGGAAGATATAAAAATCAAGAATGACACCCAAGATCTCCAAGTGACTTAAGAACATCATAGTTTAAGAGAAGCAAAGAGCTATTGGTTAATCTTATTGTTTGTTATGTTTATATATTTAAAAGAAGAGTAAGCTTTAAAAGGAGTCAGAGAAAGACAAATACCATATGATTTTACTTATAAGTCATAATAATCAGAAAAGAAGAAACAAATCTGCTATTAATTGCAGATGACAGAACTATCTGAAAAAAAATCTAAGAAATATACAGACACACTCCTAAAACAAAGAGTTTAACAAAGTTTCATCAAGGAAACAGATATAAAAGTACCAAAATTGTTTTTATACTGAAGCCAACAACTGGAAAATGTAATCATGCCCCAGCAATTCCACTGCTAGGTGTCAGTCCAAGGGAAGCTCTTGCCCACGTGGACATGGAGACTGAAAAAAGGACATTTTCTGCAAAAGAAATTTGCAAGAGTAAAATAAGTGTTAAGAAAACAAAAAAGAATCAGGCAAACTGTCCCTCACTGGTGTATTCACACAATGAGATAAAATGCAACAATGTAGAAGGAATGGATTGCCGATCTGGGTAAATTTCAGAAACATAATGCTGAATGAAAAGGCAAGTTGCAAAAGGAAAGTTCAATATGGTATCATTTTTGTAAAATCTAAGATATTAATTATGAATATGTGAACATGTAGGAAAAATATGAAAATATGAATGAGAATCATGCAGGGGAATAAAGCCTCCATCTTCACAGATACAGTTCCTTCCAGGTCCAGGACAGGAGGGCTTCCACCATATTTGTAATATTTTATTTTCCTTGAAAAAATATTTGAAGCACCTATGGCAAAATTTTAAGATTTGGTTTTGATGGTGGGTGCAGAGGTGTCTGTTATATTTTCTCTGTTTGAATTATTTCATAATTAAGAAGCAATAGTGAAAAGATATTCATTGATCAAACTGATATTTTAACCAAGTTTTTTTTTTTTTTAAGATTTTATTTATTTGACAGAGAGACACACAGCTAGAGAGGGAACACAAGCAGGGGGAGTGAGAGAGGGAGAAGCAGGCTTCCCGCCGAGCAGAGAGCCCAATGCGGGGCTCGATCCCAGGACTCCGGGATCACGACCTGAGCCGAAGGCAGACGCTTAATGACTGAGCCACCCAGGCGCCCCCTTAACCAAGTTATTTTTGACCAAGTTTTTGGATATCCCTGTTATAATACCTGGCATAATATAGGTAAACAGTAAGTGTTTTTGTTTTGTTTTGTTTTGTTCCTCCATCCCCAACTGGATTTTACTCAAAGTTTTGTTGCCCAATCTCAGAAGAAATATTTAAAAATTTCTTTCTTAATTAAAAAAGTTTGGGGGCGCCTGGGTGGCTCAGTCAGTTAGGTGTCCGACTCTTGATTTTGGCTCAGATCATGATCTCAGCATGGTGAGATCAAGCCCAGCCTCAGGCTCCCCACTGGGTGTGGAGCCTGCTTTGGATTCTCTCTCTCCCTTTCCCTCTGCCCTTCCCCACCCAATTTTTTTTTCTTTTTTTTTTTTTTACCTTTTGACCCCCTTCACCTATTTTTCCCAACCCCACCAACCAATAATCTGTTCTCTGTATCTATGAACTTAGGTGGTTTTTTTTAATTCCACATGTAAGAGAGATCGTACAGTATTTGTCTTCTCTGACTTATTTCACTTAGCATAATGCCCTTAGATTCCATCCATATGGTCATATATTGCAAGATTTCATTCCTTATGGCTGAAAAATATTCCATTGTGTGTCCACTCCACAATTTCTCTATCCATTCATCCATGGATGGACACTTGAGTTGTTACCATATCCTGGCTGTTGTAAACAATGCTGCAATGAATACTGCAGTGTTTGACAATGTTTGACAGATGAAATACAGCAGAACCATGAAAGCCACCTTGAAATATACCTCCTCCCCTCTCAATTTCTAGTTTATTTCACTTTACTTCCTCTTTTTCCTTCTCTTGCCTGTTTCCGAGAGAAGTCACTGATGTACCTTTTTTTTTTAATGTTTTAATTTAAATTCCAGTTAGTTAACAGTGCAATATTAGGGAGTACACTTGTGATGAGCACGAGGTGTTGTAAGTGTTGAATCATTAAATTGTACACCTGATGTACCTTAAGCTTCCATGCAAAGTAAGAATGACAATGCAACAAGAAAAAGAATAAACTATCCTTTATATTTATGTTTGTGCCAGGTTAAGGCAGAGAAAGACTGATTTACGTCTCTTTCTGCTTGCTCTACCAGTCAGCTCATCGTTCATACGTTAGAGGACTGAAAATCTTTGGAGATATACCTTCCAGCAATAAATTAAACATTTTACTTTGAGGTTTGGTTCCTGTTTGATTTTTAGGAAAATTTAAAATAAAATTGCTACCAGGAAGATAAAGATAATGACAGATGACTTATTCTCTAATTTCGCCCAGCTTACTTTACAAATTATTTTTCTTACAACAAAAGAAAAAGGATTTTAATATTCAAAGACAGATATGGTGCCACAGCCTTCTCCCCTTTTCCCCATGAGCAACATGAGAAAGGACTCTTTCCCCCTCATTATACTTTCAATATGAACAATCGTAACTAGAACCCATGATATACGTAAGGTATAGTTATTGTCTGAATGGAGTTATTCTTGGCCTTGGAAGCAAGAATAAAGGAAGTTAAAGGAAGAGTATTAGGTACAACAAATTAAAGGGTCCATTTAAAGGAAGAGTATTAAGAAATATGTGTTTCTGTTGAGAGATGAGTTCTTTGTTTACCCTTTCAGAGATTCAACATAGTTAGAGTCTGTAAGTATCTTGACTTATATTAACATCTCTGTCCCAAGTTAATGTCCTATTTCCACCTAATTCTGCAATACAAACAGGTTCACAAATATCACCAGAAAATAAATCAAGTAATATTTGTACATCTAAAGTAAAAAGGGATTTCTGTAAAGTGAAACTCAAGGATCAGCCAAACATATTTGGCCAAAAATCAGAATAGTCAAAATTACCCAACAGACTATATTGATAGCTAAGTTTACTTCAAGAGGTAGAAGATAAAATATTGTTGCACTGATTCATAGGAGGTGTTTAAACACACAGGTACTGAAAGCACATTTTTACTAATATAATTAGTGGTTTATCTCAAGTGTTGACTGTTTTCACATAGGTAATTAAGTGGATCAACATGCACGTTCCTTCCACGCTCAGCCAAAAAGATCCCATAAGAATATGCTACAGTTGGTCCTTGGACATCTTATTTTGAGACAACCTGGAGTAGCTAGCTTTTTCTTTTTTTGCATCAGATCATTCTAGACTGCCTAAAATTTCCATGCTCTTGTCTCCTCTATAGCAAACATTATAGAGAGCGAGGTACAGTGGGGAAGGGGTGTAAGGAGTTTAACCAAGAAGATGCTGGAGAAGCGTTTGTTGGTACAAACTTGGAGCAACTCAACAAAATCATTCATGACCAAAAGAAATTGCACGTTACACAAGCTCTCAATATCGCACTAAAGAAAAGTGCCCAGTGGAAATAGTCAATTTTAAGATTTCTTTTTCTTTACTTGGGCTACAAGGCAAAAGTCCATCAACTAACATCATCTGTAAACTAACTAGTTTGTTGATTCCTGAAATATGATATTTAGTTAAAAAAAGATCTAAATAAAATGCTGCATTCATAGTTTATACATTCAAGTCACTACTGAAAATAAAAAGAATATAATAAAACACAATTATTTTGTACCCCATAGATGAACCTTCTCGTTCTATGACTTCCCATTCAAGGAACACTTTGCATAATTTATTCTTTACCAGTATTTGTGCTATCAAAATTTGTCAAATAACTTTACAACATAATCCAAGTTCTCAGCATCAAAACTACTATTATTCCAATTTGTCCATAAAGGCAAAAAATACACATACCTCAACAAATATAAAACATGGGATGATGGAATAACTTCGTTGGGTGTTGTTTCCTACAGCCATTTCTTACACCATGTAGTGAGGCCGCACAGTCTCCAACTGTCTCCAGGCTGAAATAGAAATAGGTAACATGGTGTAAGAACCACATGTTAAACAGTCCCTTGGGTCTTTACGTAAAAATATCAGCTGCCCTCCAGATAAACAAGCTGAGGACAAACAATGCAAATAGTGATCTGGAGTACAGTCAAGTCAGAGTAGTCATCATTCTAGGGAAAAGAAATATAAATACTAGCATGAACAGTCTTAGAGTCTAAAGGACAGGTAGGGAGCCCCTGTGCACAAAGCTACAGGGGACAGAATTCTAATCGCATGAAACTGCATGGTGCTTTATCCCAGGAGACTGCCCTCATGCCACAAAAGGCAGTTTCTGCTACAACACATTTGTTGTCCATCCTGCATGGATCTCCTCGGTCTGAGCCTGATTCTTTTGTTTGTCTGTTTTGTTTGTTTCTGCCCTTGCCTCTGCCTTTGGAGCTGACAGTTGGTATTGAGGCACTAATCCCTGACTTCTTTCCCTGCCTACTCTTCGCCCTTGCTCCCTTGACTACATGGCTATTAACTATTTTGGATTAATACATCACTGATCCCTCTCACTGAGTTCCCTCAGCTGTGTGTGCGTGTGTGTGTGTGTGTGTGTGTATGTTCCAAACACAAAACATCGACACCATAATAAAATCTCTTATTTTACAATAATGGAGTAGCTAGGCAACAGCGGATTATTTTAAGTATTTGTTAGAATAGCTGTCCGACTTTGAACCAAAAATATTCCTGCATTAGATTTTTTTTAAGAAGAATCAAAATTAACCAAACAACCAAGTAGAGGTTTTAGACTTTTATAAAACTTCCACGGCCAGAGGAAAAGAATTTTCCAATACACCTTTTATTCTCTATCCAAAGCAATACTTAATGTGTGTCCAGTATCTGCTCTTGATAGTTACTGTTTTTTGTCTGTTCTGTTTCCGTGTCATCCTTCCTTGTAGTTGTTACGGGCTGTGGTATGAAGAGCAACACAGAGACTGCCAGTCCATGTAAACGGCCAACTACACTTTCCTTAAAGGTCATGAATTAATGTTTTTAACTTAATTCTAGCTTTAAGTCCTCTTTACCTTTTCTAGAATGAAATTTATAATACATTTCCTTCTCTTTTTCAGATATCAATTTCTCACTTGATTAAAACATTTTCTGATGGGGGCGCCTGGGTGGCTCAGTCGTTAAGCATCTGCCTTCGGCTCAGGTCATGATCCCGGGGTCCTGGGATCGAGCCCCGCATCGGGCTCCCTGC